TTTCGGCATGTGGATTTTCTAAACCGATTAGAAGTAATTGCGGTGACAGTCGTGCCTCGCGGGCTGGAAAAGCAGCATTCGGTATGCCTTTTTCTGAGCGACGTGGCGATTTATTAACGACCATCGTAGAGACGATCGATCTTCCGCAGAGAAAATAACTTACTCCCCGGTAATCGACGCGATCGTTTGTCCCCGCCGCGGATTCTGTCAATTATCCCGCTGCCTTCATTGATTATCGATAAGAGTTAACCCGGCCCCTTTCGAAACTTATGTACCCGATGATTATTCTCCATTTGTCTGTTCAGACGTTGCCTTACCGTCGCTTCGAAATAATTATCAGATTGTAAACGACTAAAATCTGTCGAATATGGACGTATGAGCATCTGCAGTTTGGAGATAACGTTAATATAGACGGGAAACAAAGGAGTCAAAGGATTAATAATTAGCATAGCGGAACGACGCGATTGTGGCATTGAAGGTCGTTGTTCGCGGAGGTCGATCGCATCACAGGGTACCCTCGTTCGGTCGAATCCTATTGTTAAATTACCGGTTTGCGCAAAACGCATACGCTTGACGGAACCTGAACAGCCTTGGATCTGCTAATACATTCGAACATTAGATACCACTTTCGGTGCCAATTTAATGCACTTAGTTGCTGGCCTTCCGACAGGATCGAATACGATGGAGCAGCGTTTCTCAATTCATTTTCTAGAGTGATTCTGAACGATAATCATGTTGAAAATAAAGAAAGTAGATAAAAACAGTTTGTCGTGTACCGAGAAATATGAATGATAGTGAACCAAATTAAGGCGCAGAATATTAGAGTTTCTATTAGTTTCTGAGAAAAAGAGATAGCTGCGTGTTATAATTGTAATAAAAATAATGATGACAGTGTCCTGAATAATTATTAAAGCGTGAGTTGGGAACTCGGTGGATAGAGGTTATTCAGACAGTGCAGCAGGGAGCACGAAGCTGAATCCAGGTCAAACACGGTTTTTCTGCCAACTCGCTTTTTCCTGGCAGATTTATCGCGCGCTCCATTCATAGCCGAGGGTATATGGAAAGAGAAAGAAAACGCATGCATGCACGGGCACACTACCGCGAGGCCCATGCCGCAATGGCAAGCCAGTGACGTCCACCGCAGAGGAGTCTTGTTAGTAGACATTGAACTTCCTTTCACTGTGTAATTGAATTAATTGCCGGCGATATTGTCGCCGTTACTTTGCGTTCATTGTTCGCGAACGCCTTTCTCCTTCAATCGTTAAAATCTATCTCGGATCATTGTCCCGCGTTTGTTCACCAGGCATTAAAGTCTCTTGCTGAAAGCCTACGATTATTATGCTTGTTATATTAACAAGTCCGTATTTTAATTAATTGAAGGGGGGAATTAACAAATAGTTAAATTAGTCTCATTTTCTTTCCTTTCTTTCTTGCTTGTTGGAAAGACCGAGTTTTCACAAGTAAAGATTTTTTTTTTATTGGATGAGGCATCTATTTTCTCACGGTGCACGTACAATTTCCTGTCACCGTCGACAAAAACGGGCGAACCGCACGATACAGTTTCGCACGCGCATAAAGAATCGACGTGATCGAATCGGGAAGGTCGATTCGAACGGAACGTTTAGAGTTCGCGAGTTTGCGCGGACGGGACTCGCGTTCACGCGCGAGTTGACGCGGTTTTTGTCGCGATGACCACTTCCATGAGAACCGGTAACCCCGGATTAACTTACTTTCAGCCGATCCGGCGAGTGAATTACAAGTAGCGCTGACTGGTCTACGCGGATAGCCCTGAGGTTCGCTGTAAACAGCGCCTAAACGGCGATCCACGTAAAAGGCATAAATGACGTGCTCTCCTCAGCGCGAACCGTAATTTTCCTCGCTACCCATAGCACGAGCACCGCTAATCTTTTACGATGTTTCGTCTATCGGCAACGACGGCTGTTTTCAGCCGAACCACGGCTACTCTTCGATAACGAAACGAGATCGTTGCCTCTTCGACCCCTTTCTTTCCGCTGGACGGAACTGTCGTTCCTAGTTGCAATTAATTACGCCGTAGAAATCCTTTGTGCACTCTTGTACCACTCTTTTCGCTAATAGACAGATTACTCATAGTAAATAATTAGCGCTTTAGGTGGTACAAAGGGGAATTCAATGATTCACGTTGTATCTCGACCTCGATCTCCGATATTCACACGTACAACGTATGACTCCAGGCATCTATCTCTCGATCGAATCGCGTCTACAACGTGATTTCTCTCCGCGTCTCGTTTTCCCTAAACAGAATTTGATGAAAAGTTTGACGGCTAATTTTTGCATCGGTCTGCTAAACCGTGGGATCGATTAGTTCCGACTGCGACGCGTCGCACGTTTCAACCGTAAAATGAACGTGGACAAGCGTTACGTCAGAGGCGACGAGATCCATCATTTGCATTCCTCTTCCGCCTGTTAGGCAGATGAATCGGCGATTAGGCCGAGATTGCAGGGTAGACGGGCGTTCGGCGTTTCGCGCTGCCGGATGAAAACGGCCACGTTCCTCTCCTCGAGCTTCTCGATCAGCGGGACATTAAGCCATCGTTTCACCGCCGTGCCGTGAACTTGGCTCCCTTCTTCTTGGCGAAACCAAACGACTCGTCCATTAGTTTCATCCGCCTTCAATCTCTCGCCGTTATTATCCTCCGTCTCGCGTCGTATCTTATGATTTAAGGACGTTGAGATGAAACGCGTCTCGTTGACGAAAAGGAACCAAAAGAACGATTCACAATGATCCTTAATCTCCAGCCGTGATTATCCTTCGCCATACGCTGTACACGCAGGATTCCGATGTAAAGATAGAACGCGTCTCTCGAGAAGAAAAGTTATGCTTCGCGATGACGAGACGTTGAGAAACCTCTCGAGGTCGAGTTTAATCCCGGTATGCGGCAATAGGCGAAAAGTGGATTAGGCCATTTCCCTACCACGAGCAGGGACTCTGTGTTTAATTATCGAACTTAATAACGTACCCTCTGTATTTCCCTCGCTTCGGGTACGACTTCCGAAGATTACATTTAATTACTGTTATGACGCTGGCCTGAGAACAATGCATGTAAATAGGTTTGAAACGGCAGATTTTATCCTCTCTACTCCTACTGTTTTGTTTCATTGTCTCGTTTTTGAGGGCATACAAATCGGTCGGGCGATTCCTAGTTACGGAATTAAATTAAACGGAAGAGGGGTCGATCGAAGGAGGGAGGTGTTAACCTTCGTTCCGGTGATCGAGCTCGGGAACTAGTCGGCCGCTTTCAGCGATGCAGATTTAAGAGCCTCGAAACGAGACGCGATCACGTCTAGCCTCGAGATCTTCCGTCACGTTACGTCGACTCTTTTAACTGCACCGAGTCAAGAAGCGGAGGGGTAATTCCGCGTTACATTCCCGAGGCTGGGCAAAGGCCTGGGTCGGCTGGGATTCGTGTAACGAGGTCATCGACCGCTCGCTGCGCTCCGCCGCATTAAAGAAACGCGTTACAATAAAGCCGGCCCGTTTCGGCAACCGGTATAATGAGAATAAGCAAAATGACTCGTTTACTCGTCATTGATGGAACGGATGGCGAAGGTGTTGAGTTTCGCCCGGAGGCGAACTTTTCTCCTTCTGCTCGAGCCGAGGGACTCTCAGAACGAAATCCACCGGTTTCGAGAACAGTTTATCTGGGTCACTCAGGGAATCGTTAAGTCGATCGTACGTGCCGACGCGACGCGACGAAAGTGGTGCAACTCTTATAAATGATGAATCGATGAAGCGCGTGATTAATCGAACACCTTCGCATAGTCTTCGTTTGTGCCTCTCAGCGCCTCGGCACTGGCGCAAAGTTCATACTTCTGTCGTGTAATGTAACAATATTTCTTGAACGAGCTTCGACTATTCGCTCATTCGTCGCCGAAAGTTCAGCATCCTCTCAGGGATTAAGAAAGAATCAACATTATCGCTCGGTTGAAAACGATTCCGCGAAGGTCTCATTACGCGTACCCCGTTGATCATAGGTCAGCGTGGCGGGGACAGGGCGAACTTCGACTATGGTCGCGTGATTCCTCGAGTCAATTGAATCGCGGATCAGCGTGATCCTGACCGTGCTACTCGAACGATAATGGGAAGATGAAAGATCACGCCGGCAATTTTCCCCGATCCGTAATGCGGTTAGAATGATTTATCGGGGATCAGGGTCCGCAACGACGAGCACGTTCCTAACTTTTTTTCCACCTTCGATAGCGTTTACGAATTTGCTAAAACAACTCTTGACATTCTGACCGGGAAACCGGGTTTAATCGTGCAATTCGATCCCGGGAAAGTTGTCGAATTATCGCGAAAGTTAATCAAACACGAAGAGGTACGGGAACGGTTAATTAAACATGAGATCGTGCAACGAGATAAGGAAGATCAGTGTTATTAAAAAATTTGCACGGTCGAGATGAAACTTTTAATAAAAACGCGTGAAATTTTCGACGGATGGACAGGGGACTTCCTCTCGTTATTTATTCAGCTGCGTGAGGGTAACGGATAGCTCGTGGCTATTGTTGATCCTGGCTAATTTCATCCTCGATTTCCGAACGGAGCTCGTTTCACGGTCGCTATCACGCGTTCACTTTTCACGAGACGGCACGACGACGCGTCGCGTCACCCGCAACCCCGCGGTCGTATCCCACGGTCTCGTCGCCGCCGCTGCGCCAGGAATAATCCTCCTCCGACGCGGTGTCTGCTCGATAATAGGAAGATGAAGGATCGCGGTGGTAATTTACTCAGTCTACGGTCAACGAGATCCAGAAGATTTATCACCGGGTACGTTCGATGGACACGAGGAGAAAAAGAGGAAATAATAGACAATGAGATAAAGACCAGCAGAAGCGTAAAGTGCAGCGAGAGAAAAAATCTAGAACTTGAAAACCAGTCTACACGCGTCGCGCAACGAGGTCCTGACCGCTCTTGAACCTCGTGCGCCAGGACGGATGAATCTATCGCTCGAAGGACTCACCTCGCCACCGATGCACGCCGCTGTCGTTTCTCGTGCCCGTTCGATACGCTCGTTCGAGGTCCAGTCGAAATCAAACCTGATAACAGTCCGGAAATATCCAAACGTAGTTCTTCCGCGGAGTGGTTCTCGTCGACACCGAAGGAACCAGTTTTCACTTTTATTAGACGGAGTCCCGCACGCGTCTCCTCACCGCGTAACGTATCACGGGGTCTTTCTTTCAACAAGACGCGAGAGCGAGTAACGACGAGGAGAGTGAGAAGAGCAAAGAAACACTGGAACACAAGCCGATCACCGGTCACGTTGAAGAAGAGCTGGCCCGAGAGAAGGACGAGAAGTGAGACGAGAACACGAGGAGTCTCAGTCGCGACGCGGCGTCTTCAGGATCGCTAGTCCGAGGATCCTGCTAGTTCTCCGATTGTTATTATCCCACTGAACTATCCCGATTCTTATCCGGTGGCACGACGCGACACGCGTGTCTCCTCACTCAGCTGAGTCTTTCCCGGCGAACGAAATCGGAGCTCGTGCCGAGGTATCCATGTAGTATCGATGTTGAGTGAACCGGGCGTGCAAAGATCGACGATCAGGAGCGTCCTGAGGCGAGCGGATCATCGGAGCGTACGGGGAGCGTAGTCGTCGCGGTATACGGGACGACAGGTGCAGCAGCTGCAGCTGGCACGGTCGTCGGCTTCATACTGAAGGGGCGCCTCGACGCTGCCGGCTTCACGATGCTACGAGAAACTGGCTCTGCCACTGGCGACGGCACCGAAAACTCCGAGCCAGCGCAGACTCTACGCCCGCTCTACGCTTGCTCTCCGCCGATGTTCTCTCTCCGCGCTTCCAACAACCCCTTCCACGCGAGTACACGACTACTCTCTGGTCCCATATAGCAGTGGGGACGGTCTCGTGTAACTTACCGGGGCCTGCTTCCTCTCTCCGCTCTCCTCACTCGTCTCTTCCATACCACATTCTGCGATACACTGCTTCATATAATATAACTCGATTTCGTTGCAAAATAAGTTAGACATTGGTATCAAACAAAAATAACAGACGAACGTTAAATAATATTTATTTAATTTAAGAACGAATACAGAAATTGCAAAGTGTGTTGTGCAACACGATACATAATGATACTGTATCTTTAATACTGTTGGATATTTACGATTTGATATCAGATCGCTCTATCGTTGGTTGGAATATATCGCAACCACCCCTATGAACGCTTGACTACCCCTCCCTTCGATACATTCTGTCGGCTGCGAGTTCTCTGTTGCTCACAGACACGCCGGGGATCCGCTGATATTCCAGCACTTCGTAGCCGGTCCTCGGATGGATGCTGGGCGAGTTCCACGCGTTCCGGTAGGTCGGTGCCGCCGGAGAACCGGACCGGCTGCAAAAACGATTGCGTTTCGAGATGAGAACGCTTCGAGACTGCTGCCTCCCGGCGCGGTCTGGAAAAATGCTTCGCGCCACGTCTGGACACCGGAGTCGGTGGACCTTTCGGCAGCCACGAACATAATGTCGCGTCGTTTTTTCTCTCTCTCTTTCTTCGGTAATGATTCCTTAATCATCTTTCCGCTGGTATTGCAAATGAAGCTATTCGTGAATACATACAAACATTCTAAAACAAAACAGATACAATTAAAAATGGAAATCAATTAGCATTAAAATTATATTTCGTTGTTGTACGATCAATTCGATCGACGACTTCGTGCAACGACTTCGCTTAATTAGAAAGCCGCGTAATTTCGTATGTCAGTCAATAGACTTCGGAGCGTTATCTTTTAGTGGACAGTAAAAGTAGCGAAGGATTTTCTTCGCAGATAAACGAAATATTTCGCCTAGAATTCCTGCCATGCGAAACCAGCGCGCTTATCTCGAGGCATTCTTGCCCGGATTAATCGAAAACTAGGCGAAGCCGCCTTAGAAAGGCTGTCGTCAATGTCGCGTGCGTTTCGTACTCCCGATCAAGGACTGTTCTTACCATTTTCAGCGTCCACTGGCTCGAATAATATGTCGGACGGGCCTGATTTATTGAACTACGTGCTTAACCGATAGCTACTTGCTTGCGAACCCAACAGTTCTCTACATAAAGTCAATAGAAAAAATTCTGGTCCATGTAATTTTATTTTCCGGTGCAAGTCGCGTGAAAACCCGATCGATTCGATAGCTTCGTAGCTCGTTTCCATTTTGCGAGCCACGTTTCAGACGAAGAAGCTGTGGACGCGTCTCGACGACTCGTCGAAAGCGTCTTCTTGCCGTGCCGTCGAGATGGAAAGTGGAATATAAAAAGCACGCCGACAGCTGCTCCCAGCAACGGAACCGTGTGCCCCGTTTACACTCGGCAATATCCGAGTATACGAGAATCGGTTCATTGTGTGGGTGGGATTTCCACGAGGACGAGGGGGAACGATCGTAACGAGGGGCGAAAGACCCTCGGAACGTTCTGGTTGATGATCGCCGTTGAATCAAAGCTGCCCCCCCAAAATTCAGACCGTGGCACCTTGGAAATACTCGAGGTGCGAATAATCTTATATTGCGTGAATGCAAAATATTTAATCAACTTCAAATGAAGAATTAGATTGCGTTATCTCATTGCAAACATAATTTAATTAGTTTGTTGTACCTACTTTACTCTGGCGGATAAAATTAATTACATGTAGTGTGAGATAACGCCGTAAACGTGTACCTATGTATAGTAAAAAACCCGTCAGAAGTTGTGCACTGGGATACGCGTGGCGTGGCTTCGGGTTGGTCGAGAATCTCGACGGAAAGACGTGAAAATACGGCGATTGCGAAACAACCGAGACATTTCCGCTCGGTCTATAAATTCGACTCGGCGTCGCCGACGCGGGAATACTAATGTCGCTGATAAAATACCAAAGACTAGAGCCACGGAGTAACCGTACTTCATTCAAGGCATTAGCGTCTGGTCGATGGCATTCGACAGAGAACGAGCGAGGCTAGAACGCAGAAGCGGATAAGAGAACGAGGGAACAGCATTGACAAGGATAGGCAGAAGGGAACGGAAAAAGAGGTTGGACCAGGGAACGAAGAAAGGAGGGACAGAGAAAGGGACGAAGGAGAGACGGAGATCCCTCAGCGTGGAACAAAATGATCCCGACGACGTGGTCGTAGGAATTTATAACTTTCGCGCTCTCGCCGATAGACGATATATAAGTACACACGTGTATTTATACATATACATGTATACGTATGTACATATGTATTTATGTATGTACGTATACGTGCATCGGAGGCTTATCGGCGAGAGTTGCACTTGTCTTGCCCGGTTATCGGCGTAAAGATCGAGAACGTCCCCCGTCGCTGGCGATTTCACGAGTCGACGGATATTCGCGGGGTTCGCCGTACTCGAAAAACTCGAGTGAACACACGCGCGGGAACGACTTTCCTTCGAATCGCGCCACGCCACGCCGCCGTCGGTTGACATTTACATCGAAATCCCTAACCGGCCTAAGCCGGTTGCCTACCATTTGCCACAATGACATCTCCAGGATCTACGGTTCGACCCACCCCAGAAGGCGCAGAACCTGTTTTCTTTCGCCCGCGTTCCCGCTTTGGCCCGGTTATACGAATCCGCGAAGAGACTCGCGTCCGTCTCCGCGAATCGCGTCGGAGGAGAAGCTCGCCGTGCCTCTCTCGGTTCTCTCGCGATTTAATCGGGCCTGTCGTGTTTTCAACGGATACATTTCGAGGCACTTCTCCGGAGCCCGATAGCGGCGCCGGGGACATTCTTCTGGACGCCGCGCCGAGCCAAGTTTGAACGGTACCTCTCGCGTGGGTTTTATCGCGATGAAAGTCATTTTAGCGAATTTTGGATTCCCTAGTAAACAGTACGAAAACAGTGTTTGACCAATATCGAAACTAGCCAATTTAGAATGATAATTTCGTTGAAATTAGAACTTTTCAGGAAATCATTAGATGCTAAGAAACATTGTTGCTTTCTATACGTACACATTTATAAAATTACATCAATGCGATTATGAAACAGTACCAACGTACCATTCAGTTACATAATATTACGTTCTTTTTTAACGTTACAAAATAAGATGCATGATACGGAAAGAAGATTATATATTCTTGAATCGCGTAACGTTACGCACGGGAAAGACATCAATGAGAGTTCCGTTTTGAGATAGCTGGGTAATTTTTCATCGCAGCCACGCGGTAGGTAATTGAACAGAACTCGAAACTGCACGGTCTTCGTTCGCAGTTGAACCGGCGCGCGAGCGTGACTCAATGCGACGCATTGCGCCACTAAAAAAAGAAGAGGCTGCGCGTTGCCGTGTGTGCTGAATTTTAATTCGCCGAGATTAGTACGCGTACTGCCCGGACTCCCGACTTCCTGCCCGTAGATGGATCGTGATGCGCCGTAAACCGGAAACGGTGCCGAGGATAATTACACGTGGAGGTAAAACGATGAGGATACGATTTCGCGATATCGCCGTGATCGGCTTAACGCGCGTCTAATATCGTTTCTGCGTTCTGTTACGCTGATCGAGCGTATTTAAACGATGAGACAACAAATTCGCGTTACATCTGAAGCATGCTTTCGGACACCTACGTAACGGCGTGCCTTAAACCAGTTAGGCCGGGTGAAATGGGGAAATAATTGATAAATCGAAAGACATTACCGACGCATGAGATATGCGGATCTAAGAATGTACGAGCACGCTTGTAACCAAGTTCTAGACCCTAGGCAACTGGTGATTAATATCGGGATGGAAGCAAAGAATCCGAGGAGAGAAATTAATGCGTCTCGATGGTTAAAAAACTAGTGGATAAATCAGCGTTTCCAGCGTCGCGAGCTTCCACGCTAGTTTAATTATCGATGAAAACCGGTGGAGGTGGATGCTACCTTAATCAGTTAGTAATACCCCGCAGCTCTCTCGCCAAGGTTAGCCGGAATATTTTCATAATTATTATAATAATCCCGCGTCGCGTTTAATAGGCGATGTACAGGGAGGAGGAAAGATCGTTCGGGGGGAAGATGATCGAAGTAAAATGGGAACTGAGCAAGTTACAATGTTCCCTTTAGGCGAGGATATTAAAATAATTAACCGCAACACTGTTGCTTCAGTTAGTTACGAACACAATTAAAGCATAATTTTTGCATAAAAAGGAACGTCAGGTGCATATTTATTACCATCAATGTAATGATAAAACGCCGATGGTAGCATCATCGGATGATTAACGGGTTATAGCTTTTAACCATATCGGGATTGAATACATAGTACTTGAGTCCAATCCTGCATATATTATTTTTTTTTTTAATAAAAGTTAGCAATAACCGTTTTGTAGACTTTTACAGTTCTATGAACTTAACACGAGGGTACGAGAAAAAATATGAAAACTTTAGTTTGTAGAGTAGCATTTCGAGTCGTGTTAGACAGATTCCATTCTTTTATTCTAATTAACTGCTAACATCATGAAGTTGAAAAACAACGGTTCCAGAAAAGCCAGTTGCCTCGGGCACGAGAACGTGCCTCTTCCCACCATTTCGCACAGCCATAACAACGTTCCCGGCGTTTATGCTAATTTTTCCGACGAGCCCGGCCGTTACACGGTAAAATAAGGCCGTGTCCGCGATGCACTTTTATTAAGTCCTTCCCGGCCGAGACGAACGGACGAGATTTTCCTCCGTTTACGGGAATTTTCCGTGCCAGAGGAAAACTCGTAAAAGAATTCCCAGCGGAATTGCGGGACGTCTCGAACGGCTGGTATTTTCGCGCTTTCTTTAGAGCCGGGAAAGAATC